TCCCGGAAACCAGCCACTGATCAGTTTCAACAGGGGCTGAATCTGGAGCCTGGGACAGAACAGCTGGGGCACTGCTGGGTAGGTCCCCCCAAGACCAACCCGCCAGCCCCCCAGCTGCTCTACCCCAGGCGTCCCGCAACAAAAGCCTGGTCTGCTGGGGAGGGGGCGCACTAGCTGCGCCCCCTTCCCCCCCAGCAGACCAGGGAGACGCGGAGCAGCTTCTCTCACCCTGGAGTACGTGGGCGGTGGGACCGCGGCGCATCTGGGCGGTCCCGCCACCTGCATCCTCCGGGGCGAGAAAAGCCCCGTTCGTAAGTACGGATCCGACATAAGTCGGATCCGCGTAACCCGGGGACTGCCTGTAAACAAGGCTGGAACCACCACTGACCCATAAAACTTAAAATAAGTGCTTCTGACAACTATCATATGCCTGTTACTAGGGACCATTATTTTTAAAGTGAACAGTTTACATTATTTAAAAAAGTTCAAGAGATGGTTTATTTAAGTTCATGACACATCCACAATTAGGTCGTAATGAAACATGATTACATTAAAATTCTACCACATACTTGTCAAGGTCTGTAGTTTGGGGGGAACCAGATATACAATGAGTTTTTAATTGTGTCTATTCTCCCCCCCCCCAAGTTAAATTCATTGTGGATTAACATCTGCCCTCCAATCACTTCAACCCATTGTCTCAAATACTGATTCAACTCAGAAGCGTATAGATCTAGAAAACTGAGCATCATAAGTATTGCTCCCTTATTTAGTGTAGTAAGATGAAGGCCTGAAACAAAAGCCCATGTAGCACAGGCCTGGTTTGAGGCTGGAGGTCTAGCTAACAATGGACAGAACTTGACTAACAAAGCAAAGCTAAGCTGGGAGCAAGAGGCAGGTCCCTACTTACAGAACTTGGCTTGCACAGAGCTGAGTGTGTAAATCACTAATTGGTAATAGGCCCAGGTGTAAAACAGTAATTGGTACTGGGCATAGGTTGAAAGCACATTCCAAAAGGATAAGAATACCAGCTCACTAAAAAAGACCTTCGTACCCACACTCCCCATAGCTTCAGGAAAGGATCTAAAATGACAGCATGATGGACAGAGAAGTTCTAATCAAACCACAGGGTGCAGGGTGATGGCTGGTATCTCAATAGCAACAGAGGGTGATAACCTAACAAGTCAGAGGGTGGCAACCTGACACATCAGGAGTGATGTGTATCTGTATATAAAGTGGTGTCTTGGGGAGGGTGGGGTGGTGGTGACAGTCTTTGTCCAGCCAAGGGGGCAGTGGGACCTCTCACTGATTGAACCCTGTAACAATGGACTCAGCTCATATGCATAGTGGTTCAGTTAGAATCTAACAACAACTATTACTGTACTTTGCTTAACAATAAACCTGGCCAGGTGCCTTCAATCTTCATCTCATTTGTGGTCTTTGGGGGCTGTCTTGGAGTCTGCTGTGTTGACTAATTATGCAAGTCAACACAGAACACACGTTTAAGCACACATGCATGCAGCCTTCTGATTATCATCACTGAGGGAACAGACAACTTGTCAGGAGACCACAACAGTAAATCTTAGCATACTACATGGGCATTCTTGATTCTTTCAGAACCTCCACCCCAACTCAAATGTTGAGATAGTAGTAGCCTAATTTTTTTTTTTGCTAATCATATTAAAAATGAGTGATATTGGATACTGTGTAATTGAACAACCATGTAACCGCATCAATTATCAGCTGTTGCACAACTAGTTGATAGGCCCTGGGGATGGGGATGGCAGCCAGTATGTTCCAGGCCTCTCTCAGGGAGTTCCCCTGCCACCCCACTCTACTGTCCCTGTATCAGCATAGGCCCACCATGGACAAAGGCTGCTCCGTGGCAGCTTCCCCTCCCCTCCCCTCACGCTGCCACCTCTGCTACAGGCAGCAGAGGGGAGGGGCAGAGGCAGGAGTCAGTGCTTGGGAGGAGCCAGCTTTTAAGCTGGCTCCCCCCAACCACCAGCTCCTGCCGCTTACCCGCCCCCCCGGGGAGACAGTAAAGTTGGGAGGGGGTGTGGGGAGAAGCAGCTCCACTTGAAAGCTGGCTTCCCACATGTACCAGCTCCCGCCTGCCCTCTCCCCTGCACTGTTGACTGTATCATGGGGGGAAGCTATGGGAAGCCAACTTAAAAGCTGGTTCCTCAGTGGCACCAGCTCCTGCCTCCCTACCTCCCTTGCTGCCTGACACACAGGCAGCAAGGGGGAAGGGAAGCGTATGCAGTCAACAGGAATTAACCAATAAGCCCATGCTTATCAGTTAAACATGTAGTCAACAACACACTGACATCCCTATTAAAAACGTTGTGTATTTTTCTTGATAGAGATTATCTAGAACAATGGCTCATTCTGGAGGTGGGAAAGACATATAGTATCAATCCTATAGCCTAGAATGGTGTTACTATAAGTACAGCAGATCTGCACTTAATTTATTACAGTGAATTTCCAGCTGATTGAGATGCAAATCAAAGTACTAGTTATAATCTATTTCTATTTGAGATTAAAAACTGCTTCTCCCTTTGAGTCACAAAAACAACAGAACCCTATATGCATTCTGATGACAATATTTAGCTATGACACGAAGTACATTTCCCAGATTTGAAGAGTTCTGTGTAAGCTCAAACTCTTCTCTCACACTAACAGAAGTTGGTCTAATAAAAAGTATTACCTCACCTCCCCCTCCTTTAAGTGCCCACACAAGCATTCTTAAAAAACAGATCATTTTCAGTAAATGGTCTCCTAACTCTGCAATTCTCAGAGTTTGGTCAGCATTTAACAGCTTTCAGAGCATTGTGTTTTTTAGACAGAACTTTGCCTGATGGGTTTAGATAAACAATTATATTCTGTAATAATAGATTGCTGTTGCTGCCTAATGCAAGTAGTTCTAGAGCTTTGGTTTGGTGAAACTACTTTGATGGATGTTGCTGTAAGTTATTATAAGTCGGATCCGCGTAACTCGGGGACTGCCTGTATTTGTTTCTATTTTTACAACAGGCTATATAACAGGACGTAGCCATGGGTGGGCTAACAGCATCTAGGCCCAGCTCTGGCCTCAGCACTTGCCTCATTCTGCCTAGTACTCAGCTGAAGAGTGGGGTCAACAGCTCCCCCAGCGGCCCTTCTCCCGGCCCCAACTGGGGTTAAGGACAGAGATATGGGACCTTGCCCACAGACAAACCCCCCTGCTTCAGTGCAGGCAAGCCCTGTGGTCCAGCACTGCTTCCTGGAAGCACAGATGGAGGGGGTCTCAACCAGAGTGCACACCACTCCTGCAAGGCCAGTGGAGAGGGTGGGGGAGCCAATCTCAATCACTCCTCTCCCAACCACCTCCCTGTCATTGCCTACTCACCCAAGTTGGGGCCCACCCAAGTGTCCCATATCCTTAAACCACTGCATGAAAAGCACACGTCAGTACAAACAATACAACAAATTGTATATACTGCTCTATATTCAACCGGGGGGGAGGATGGAAAGGGGGTTGTCGTGATTTATTTTATAATTAATTGGTTAAAAAATCCCCATAATACTGTGCTGTGATACCTGCATTTTTACATCTGATTTTGTATGCATGTAGTTTTTAAGTGAAGTGAAACTTGGGGTAAGAAAGACAAATCAGGCTCTTGAAAGGGACACAGTCTGGAAAGGTTGAGAGCCACTGATCTAGACTGCACAATCCCATGCAAATGGTAATAAATGTTGACTATACAAGTAGTTCCTCAAGTTGGACAAATCTTCAGATGCATATTTTACCTGTACATATTGCTTCACTCCCCAGCAAACAGAAGCAAAGTTAATTTAATTCTTCAGCCATATAGGAGGCCCCCGACTTGTAAACGCCCGAATTCCAACCCCCTGCACTTACAGAAATGGTTGTGAGAAAGGGGCCGAAAACCCCCTACTTATGTCCTTGGCCTGCATTTACGATGGCGCACAGCACCTATTGTAAATGAGGGTTCGAATTAAGACGCCCCCCTCTCCTGACTTGCAATGCTTCCCCAGGAACAAATCGCGTCACAAATCAGGGGCCTCCTATAATTCTACAAAAGCTAACTTTCAGTTATTGTTGAATTTTTGTTCTCACTCTTAAGATTAACACCAGTCATCACAATGGCTGATAAATGACTTGGTTTGTGCTACTGTATTAACAGGTCATTATGTCTGTAGAAAGAGGTCAACAGAAGGAAAGTTTTGATTCCCATTAATATGAAGGCCTCTCAAGTTCAGCATTGAGAGACAAAGTACACAGTACATGTTTAGTCATGTCTGCTTCATTTTGGATTAACACAGGTCTTTTAAAACTAACACCATGATTATTAGGAAGAAGAGTGCCATATATTCTGCTTATATAACATCTCTCCTTTGTTAACTTTTAATTAGGGTTGTCAACTGTAGTTAATTCACATGATTATCTCAAAATTAATCATGATTAATTGCAATTTGAATTGCACTGTTCAATATAGAATACAAAGCATATAGTACTCTTTATAGTATTAATATTTGCACTGTAAATAACATTAGTATTTTTCAATTCACCTCATGAGTACCACAGTGCAATCTCTGTCATGAAAGCATAACTTACAGAATGTAGATGGGGGCGAGAGGAGGGATTTACGTAACTGCACCCCCCCCCCCAGTAAAATTTTAAAGCCTACAAGTCCACTCAGTCCTACTTCTTGTTCAGCCAATTTCTAAGAGAAACAAGTTTGTTTGCATTTATGGGAGATATAAGTCAGCAGCATTACCTGAAAGTGAGAAGATATTAGTATGGCACTTTTTTGCAGCAGACATTACTAAGTATTTACATGCCAGATACACTAAACATCATGCTTTGACCACCATTCTAGAAGAAACGCTTCCAGTCTGATGTCTGTGATGACCCAACATGTTATTCTTAAAATAAACACATTCACAGCAGATTTGACAAAATGCGAAGAAGGTACCAATGTGAGATTTCTCAAAATAGCTACAGCACTCAAGCTAAGATTTAAGAATCTGAAATGCTGTCCAAAATGAGAGAAATGACGTGTGGCGCATGCTTACAGAAGTCTAAAAAGAACAAACGCTTCATGTAGAAACTACAGAACACAAGCCACCAAAAAGGAAAAATCAACCGTCTGCTGGTGACATCTGACAGATGATGAAAATGAACATGCGCTGGTCTGCACTACTGTACTTTGGATTCTCATCAAGCAGAATCCATCATGGACGCATGTCTTACGGAATGGTGGTTAAAGCATGAAAGGACATATATAACATCTAGCACAAATATTATTTTTCAGATGTTAGCTACAACAGTGCCACATTAATTCCTGTTTTCACTTTCAGGTTGACACTGTAAACAAGAAGCAGGTAACATTATCTCCCGTAAATGTAAACTAACTTATCTAACCAATTGGCTAAACATGAAATAAAACTGAGTGGACTTGCAGGCTATAAAATTTTACATTGCATTCAACAATAAAAGTGGGTTTTTTAAATGTAATTCTATATTTGTAAGTTCAACTCTCATGATAAAGATATCGCATGACAGTACTTGCATTAAATTAACTGAAAAATACTATTTACACAGTGCAAATATTTCTAATTAAAAATGGTGACTTTTCATGTAATGTTTCGGTTAACATTTTGTGGTGTATTACAGCACATGCTTCTTTAAAGTTGAGCAATGCTCCTTATAATGTCATTTGGTTGCCTGCTTTGTCCACTACTACAGGATTTTCTGGAAAAGCTGTCTGTCCTTGTGTGGGTTTGGAACCAGGGTGGGCTGGCAGCTCCCCATCAGCTCCCTTAAGTTCCCTGAAAGTTATGCTGCAGCTGCCCCCTACTGCTGTACTGCCCTGCTCTCTGCCATGGAATTCTTGCTTGCTGTGGGGAGGGGAGAAGGAAAGGACAGAAGGAGAGGGGTGCGGATTTCATGATGTCTCACTTCCATTGAACCCATTCTCTCTACCCCATCTCTACAAAGTAGAATATCACAGCTACAGAGTTTTCTGTATGAACTTCCTGTTCTACTTACAAGGGCGCACTGGAAGTGGCGCTAGCATACTTAAAAGGGGCAATGCATGCCTCTGTCTCTCTCAAATGCACATAGTGAGTGTGTGTCCGTTTGTCTAGGTCTCGCACACATCCCTTGGCATTGTGCAGCCATTTATGCACCGTCTGGAGGAGAAAGTGGCACACTCCAGCAGGGTAGTGTATGTTCATCATCATGTTCAATTTCTGCAGTGAAGGTGTTCGCAGACACTGCTGTGCATCTATTATATTTCCGCGCTCCTGCTTCAGTCCATGCTGCCTTGTAGAGTGGTAAGCTACAACAGCAGCAATGTGTTAACCCTTGAGGGCTCAGCCAAGTGCTAGTTCAGGGGTGGCTAACCCATTAAAAAAAGAGAGCCTAAACAACGGCGGAAAAAATGCAAAGAGCTGCACCAGAATTGTTGAGCAAAAAAGGAAGAGCTCCCCACCAGCCAGAGTTGTTGAGGAGAGGAGACGAGGAGAAAAAAAAAAAAAAAAAAAAAAGGACACTGCCCCTTTAAAAACCATGGGTTAGGCTTTTTGGCCACACATCAGGCTCCCATAAATATCTTGCCACGCTGCATGGCTCCCCTGCACCTGGTGAGCACAGGGAGCCAGGGGCTGTGTAAGGGCACATGGGGCAGCTTCGCTTTCAGGCATGAAGAGCTTCATGTGACTCACGAGCTGCAGGTTGGCCACCCCTATGCTAGTTCATCTTTTAGTAGCAAGACATTCCCTGGGAAATATTCCACCCTTTAACCCCCATGCGCTCAATCAATCTTCACAATCACCATTGTTATGTACAGTATTAAACCGTTTAAAATTGCTACAAACATACGGTATATATTTACACTGTCTTTTGTCACCTAAAAAAAATATTCCCTGAACCTTATCCCACATTTACATTAATTCTTACAGGGAAATTGAATTTGCTTAAAATAATTGCTTAAAGTAGCATTTTTCAGGAACGTAACTACAACCTTTATTCAGGAACTCATCGCTAGAGTTCCCTATTACAGCACTTTGAATTGTGTTGTAATTGAAATTTATATTTTTGAAAATATGGAAGACATCCAAAATATTTATATAAATGCTATTCTATTATTTAGCAATGTGATTAATAGTGATTAATTTTTAATAGCTTGACAGCACTACTTGTAATCTCTTAGCATGGCTCTAAGTGAAAAACAACTTTGCAAATGGCACTGGTAGATTCTATATTTCTTTTAAAAGCCTTCAGTGTAATTGCACAAGAGTAACTCAAAACAGATTTTTATTATTATTACTGGTGATGATGTAAGAGAAGGAAAAAAACCTGACTGACTTGTAAGTCTAGAAGGTATTAGAAGATGAGCAAATAAAACCTAGTTTACAACGAAGAGTGGGAAAACACTGAAACAAAAACAGTAACTCCACTAGGAGGATAATCTTCAAGGGGAGAACAGCACTTCAGTCAGTTAACAGAACTATCTGGTTTGCTTCCCAAACAAAAAAGCAGTGCATATTTTTAGTATATATACACAGCTACATTCTTTATTCACTTTTATGTGTGACTTCACAATTGTAGCAATTATGTTAAAAGGAATTCTGATAAGCAATGACAGCCGTTGACCATTACTGCATTGCTCTTAGGTTAAAAAAAAAAAAATAGGTAGAATAGCAGGAGCCTAAATAAGGTAATTATTTGTTCAGCTGGTTTGAGTGCATTGTTACACCCTCAAGATCCAATAAAGCAATGGCTCTCAAGCTTCTGCTAACTCCCTTTGTTCTGTGATGAACAAAGTTGATACAATTGACACCCTTTTTCTGTCCATACTCATTCTCCTCTATTCCTCACTTCTTTTTTTGGTTTATATTTCACAGCTCCCTTTTGTTCCTCAGAGTAAAAAGGCTACACACTGCTCGGGTAGGGATGTCTATGACTCCATGAACAGAATATATATGGCTTTGCAGCTTAGCAAAGCATGATGGGAACAGAAAAGCAAGCTTGTGGCATCTGCCAAAGCCTGCATCCCTGTACATGTGAGTTGCTATGGTCAGCTATACTGAGTCACTTTGGGAGCAGATTTAGAAAGACAGTCATTACTTTTGAGGAGCCACCTACTTCTTTAGTGATGGTAGCAGATGCATATTTGAAAGCATACAGCATAATGCAACATTGTACATCCCCATTACTATTTTTTTTCCTGTGCACATCCTGCCACAGGTTGGAATTTTAACAACAAATAACCATAAAAATTGTGCCTCACCTTGCCTGAAGGTTTTGGATGCATTAAGAAGTTTAAGATTCTGGTAACCAGTTCATTATTAACTCCTGATCTTTCCAAATCAAGGACCTCACAGATACTTTTCAACATAGCATTCCTGAATCTGAATAGAAACAAAATTCAATTATCTCAACAGGTTATTAAAAAAAGTCAACATTTCAATATTGTGAGTTTGAAACCCTTTTAATTTAGGCATTGAGCCTACAAACCCATGCAGGTGCAGGCAACTTATGAACTATTTGCATCTAGGCCTATTAGGAATGTAACGGTGTACCTGTTTACACAATTAACCAATGAGTAATCCTAACAGTTACATGCAGCCTCCTCCCCCCTACCCCACCATCAGAAGTGGGGGGAGGGGAGGCAGGAGCTGGTTCCCCATGGGGAACCAGCTTTTAAACTGGCTCCCCTGCCTCTCCCCACACTGCTGCCTCTCACAGAAGTTGCAGCATGGGAAGCAGCAGTGCTCCCAGGGAGCTGGCTTAAAAGCCTGCTTTTCATCTGCACCTGCTCCTGCCTAGTCCCACCATATGTAAATGTGTCATCGCTGTAAATTTCATTGGTTACACATTTACAGAAATAAACGCATTTTAACATCCCTAATACCTATCCATAGATGTTTACAAAAAACAGTTACATACAATAGATTGGCATAAAAACCCTTGAAAAGGGAGACTTATTTTAATTAATTTCCTTAAACTCAACTCAAACTTTTATACCATGAGATTTAAATACACCAACAATATAAGCAGCAGTTCCTTCAGAAAAGTCTTCCTACCCACAATATAAACCTGGGGGGAAAAATTGGCCACTCCAGGACAAGACTGGTGAACTTGACTTAAACTTTCAGGCAAGCCCCAACAAAATCATATTAGCTTAGAATATTTTTTCTAAATACTTCTGCCTATCCAACCAGTCATCTAGAAATTATCCATGCTCCATATTTACCATAGACACTGGGACATGTTCTCTACTTTATCAGTAGTTTTGGATGAAGGGAAAAAAATTGAGATGGTGGCTTGTTACAGTTTAGGGTTTGCAGGATCAGAATGAAGAAGTTACTTACCCTGTGCAGTAATGATGGTTCTTTGATAGGTGTCCCCCCGTGGGTGCTCCACTCAGGTTTCGGTGCGTCCTCATGTCACTAATTAGAGATTTTTGCTTAGCAGTGCCTCCTGCATTGCGCATGCACACTCACCATCTCACACTGTTAGGTGTGAGCAGCATGAGCCTCCCTCTGTTTCTTTTCTTCCAGAATTCGGTTAAAGGACTCCAAGCGGAAGGGAGGGTAGTGGAGCACCCAAAGGGGGACACATCTCAAAGAACCACTGTTACTGCACAGGGTGTGTAACAACTTCTCCTTCGAATGGTGTCCCTATCGTGCTCTGCTCAGGTGACTTAGTAGCAGTACCCGCCAAACGGTGGTGGGCATTGGAGTCATTTATGTGAAGATAATAGGACTGCATCTGCTAAAGTGGTGGTAGGTATGGGTCCTTTCTGTAGGACATAATGTTGTGCAAAAGTGTGGTGGGAAGACCATGTCACTGCTCTACAAATGTCTGCTAGCAGTATATTATATAGGAAAGCTGCTGACGTGGCCATCACATATGTGGAGTGCACCCTGATAATATGTGGTGGCTGTTTCCCACAAAGCTGGTAAGCTATGTATATGCAGTTTGCGATCCATTAGGAAATCCATTGTGCTGAGACAGCTGTTTCCTTATGGGTACCGGACCAAGAGATGAAGAGTCTGTCTGATTTCCTGGTCTCTTTCATTCTAAGTAGAGCACGATGGCTCGTCTTGCATCTAGTACTCAAGTACAGTAAGTATGGAGGCAGTGTTTGGATGTAAATGATGAGTGGTACACCACTGTTGAAAGTGTTTCCATTTGTTTTGGTAGGCGTATCTCGTGGAGGAACATCCACTGTTCAAAAGGATACACTTAACTGTCTCTGAGCAGGTAAATTCTTCATTTCGGAGACCATGGAGAAGCCATGCTGTGAGTTTCAGAGTTTTGATGTTCAGGTGGTGGGTTTTGCCCTAGTGTTGAGTTAGCAGGCATGGAACCACAGGGAGAAGGATCGGCTGGCTTCTTGCAAGGTAATGTCGATAGAGATACCAACGTTGTCAACTGCAACGTTCTCTGCTGCAGGGAAGCCATCTCTCCAGGAGCTAGGCTGGTGGCCCCACTCCCAGCTAGACTTTGCTCAGGGCTCTGCTGTATCAGGCTTTATACTACCGAGCCTGCAGCACATGTAACTAAGATTTTCAACAGTTGCACAGTTACCTTTTTAACTGACTTTTTACATCCCTAATCTGGATAAAGTAACTGTTTGGTAGGGTACAAGACAGTAAGTATTGTTGTGTTACGAAGGGTGTTGAAGAGGTCACTGACTGATTCTATGGTCATGTGTGTCAGTACCTTCCATACCAAGTATGTTCAGCTTATAAAAAAATTTCAGGTGCCTATATTGTCAAACTCAGCTTCATTCTTTTCTGCTGTACCCCTTTTCACCAGTAAGAAATTCTGCAGACCAAATATTGTACTTAATTATGCTAATCCAACCTTGTTGAAAATAGCGAGGTTGCAAAGGGATACGGAAAGCAGAGTTGATCTGACAGTCAGAATGTAATTAATGTTACAGTAAAATTTCCCCACACTGTTCTAAAGACTCTTGAGTCATGAAGGAGTAAAGCTTGTCAATAAATTAAGCAAATGATACATTTGCTTAAGTCCTAAAATAACATGTGCAACTGCTTTTCAGAGAACAGGATTTTAAGAATCAACATGGAAATTTTGTTGAAGAGGATTAGCAAAGCTTCTTTTTATATTAGTCACAAGTGCGAATATGCAAAAGTATACCCTATAATATTTTGCATGTCTAGGGTAATGCAAATATTCAACTCAACCTGTTAAAGATTGAGATTTTCATCTTTAGATCATTTGCCATAGTAAGCTGAAGGCACTGCCCCATAGTATTAGGAAATCAAATTGTTTAAATTGAGCTCAAAGACAAAAACAACAGTTCTAGAAAATAGTCTCAAGGTAATCAACATTTTAGGATGAGTAAACCCTAGAAAATAAACGTAACCAGCATGATTCAAACTATAGTAAGCCGTTATATAAATAATTACTTTTTTAACATTTCTTCCTTTTTTTTGTATTGGTCACTTCCTTTTTCAAATGGAAACCCGCTGAACTGACCCACATTCTTCTTTAATGAAGTAACCTAAAACAGAACACATTGATTACTTTTGATTGCAAGCAATTTAATAGATTACAGCCAGCAATATGTATTCAGCTAATTTTGTATCACTACATGAGTTTGTTAGATGCTTCTATCCAAAAGGGCAATATGATCCACCATTGTATGGTGATCATGTTGTAAAATTTAAGAAAATGCTCAAGTATTCATGTATTTGAGACAATGTGGGTGAGACATTATCTTTTACTGGACCACCTCCAGTTACTGAGAGACAAGCTTTCAAGCTTATATAGAGTTCTTCAGGTCTGGGAAATGTATTCAGGTTAGGTCTACACTATACACTTAACATAAGCAATAGCATAGCTCAGGTTTTCACACCTCTGAACAACAGCTATACTGATGTAAAAGGAGTCCCTTCCAGCTGTCAGGTCTATGAACTACCACTGTAGTGGTTCCAATCCCAACATCTGCAGCTTTTGACAGTACCTAACAGGCAGAAATTGGCTAGTCTGATTTATTGCATAAATTGAGTAAGCACCACAGAAAGCAAAGAACCAGCAGGTTTTGGTTTGCTGGTTTTTTTAATATCACATTTAGAAATGTTAAATATTGTTTAAATGGTTAACCAATTAAATACTTTTTAACCAACTAATGGGGAGGGAGGGCTGGAGGAGCCCCTAACTATGGGACGCTGCAAGCAAAGGCTGCTTCAGTCTGGCTGGAACAGCCCCAGTCTACCGTGAGGCCCCGACAGGTCTGAAGAAGTCCGCTGCCAGAGTTGCTCCAACCCCTTCCCCCACAGTTAACCTTAACCGGTTTAACACTCACATCCCCGTACCTTCTTTGAGCAATGCCATAGCATGCACTAAGGATGTTAATTGTTTACTCAACTAGATGCTAACTGAAAAACCTAGGCTTATCAGTTAATCCCATCAACTACATGCACTCCTCCCCCTTTGATACAGAGGCAACAAAGGGGGCGAGACAGGAAGAGGGAGTCAGTGCCTGTGAGGAGCTAGCTTTAAGCAGGCTCCCCATGAGCACCGGCTCTACCTACCCACCCACTCTGATAGAGAGGCAGCAGCATGGAAGGTGAGGGGGGCAGGCTGAAGCCAATACCAGGGATGTTAAGATTAGTTGACTATCTGATAAGCGTATGCTTATCAGATAGTCTTTTGACTAGTCGATTCTGGGGGAGGGAAAGGGGTACTTCAAATTGGCAGTGATGCACAGCTGTGTGGCACTGCCACTTTAAAACCCCAAGGCGGCATTTCAAAGGGGCAGCAGTGGATCCCAGGGTCAGCTGGGGACTCCCCAGCTGATCCTGGGCTTTGCACAGCATCTCCCCAGAATCCGGGGTCAGTCGGGGAGTCCCCAGCTGACCCCAGGCTCCACAGTGGCTGCCCCTTTAAAATGCCGCCCAGAGCAGGTTCCACAGAAGTGCTGCACAGAGCCCAGGGTCAGCTGGGGAGTCCTTAGCTAGCCCCGGGCTCCTCGGTTTGAAATGCACAAGAGCCCCCGCTGGCGACTCTTGTGCACTTCAAAGCAGGCACCCGTGTGCAGCCCAGAGTCAGAGGGACTTCTCACTTGCCCCAGGCTGTATGCAGAGTTGCTCATTCCTCCTCTGAATTGTAGGGGCTCTTGTACATTTCAAAGGAGGAATGCAGAAGTGTCTACTGACTAATCAACTAGTCAATGGAAATTCCATCAACTAGTCTACTAGTCACTTAACTGCATTTTAACATCCTTAGCCAATAAATGTGGGGAGGCAGCTTTCAAGCCAGCTCCCCTTGCCTATCAGCTCCCCTGGAACCACCTGCCCCCCACTTTCTGCCTCCTGTAGAGGTAGTGGGCTGGGAAGGCGGATGGGGAGGGGGAGGAGGAGGAGGAGGAGGAGGAGGCAGTGCCAGGCAGGAGCCGGCTTAAAAGCCAGTTCCCCCCAGCACCAGCTCCATGGTGCTGCCTGCCCCCATTACCATGCTGCTGCCTCTGTCTATGAGGGGGTCTGAGCGGGACTTCAGTGCACTGGCTGCCGGCCCCAGCCCTGGGAACTATCGACTAGTTGTGTAACCACTAAGATTTCATGCGGTCACATGACTATTTAATTACACAACATCTAACATCCCTAATATACATACACACACACAGGCCCTTGGCACCAAAATATTCAGGAGTTTGCAGATCCTGGTATATTTGCACTAAAACACTTTGACAATTCTCCACAAAGACCATCACATATACAACTTAAGAACCATTTTACAGATCAGGTGGTATGATTCTGCTTGAGCTAATATGCTAAAGGGATCAGTACAGCAAGGGTAGCCTAGGGAGTGACTTGCAGAAGCCACCGGAGTACAACCCCCCCAGACCTCTTGAATATGTACTTGGCTAGCTATCCCAATCAGCAATTAAGGTTATGCTGATATTTTTAGTATATTACTTTGAGTAGATCTATACAAGCTGGGAATCAGACCTCCCACCTCAAAATATACATACCATTACTCACAAGATACCATCTCAGCCTACACTTTCACTTACCTAGCATGACTTAAATGCCATCACAGAGACTTGGTAGGATGACTCTCATAATATAATATTAGTACAGAGTGGTATTATTGTTCAGGAAGAATGGGCAAGCAAAAGGACCTCTCTCTTTACATTACAGATATACTTGTTCTGATGTTCAGAAGTTGAGGCATACCAGTTAAAAGTGTCTGGGTAAAGATAAATAGAACCTTGTGCAGATACAAAACTGGTACCTGCATCTGCAAAAATGATCTGCAGATATCTGCAAATTTTCAACAATGTCGATATAAAATTTGTGCCTGCATCCTTAAAAGTGAGCTGCTTGCATCCACATCTGTGGATACAGACACCTATGGATTTGCAGGGCTCTAAAGATAAATGGGTGACACCACTGTAGGAGTCTACTGCAGAATCACAAAAGGAAGGAGGTAGTAGCCAAGGAATTTCTGGAACAAAAAAATCCAAAAAACCCTCCAAGATCAGATCACAAAAAAAGGTATCTTAGCAATGGAAAAAGGTTAAGAAAGGGGCAATAAAAATGATTAGGGGTTTGGAACGAGTCCCATATGAAGAAAAATTTAAAAAAGACTTGGATTTTTCAGCTTAGAAAAGAGGAGACTAAGGGAGGACATGATAGAGTCTATACAATCATGACAAGTATGGAGAAAGTGAGTGAGGAAAAGTTATTTACTTGTTCCTGTAACATATGAACTAGGGGTCAAATGAAATTAAGAGGTAGCAAGTTTAAAACAAACAAAAGGAAGTATTACTTGACGCAACACACAGTCAACCTCTGGAACTCATTGCTAGAGGATATTGTGAAGGCCAGGACTTTAACAGGGTTCAAAAAAGTGTTAGATAAATTCACAGAAGACTATTAACAAGGATGGGTAGGAAAGATATCCTTAGCCTCTGTTTGTCAGAGGCTGGGAATTGGTGACTGGGGCGCGGGGGCGGGGGGAGGGAGGAGGAAAGAATTGCTTGATGATTCCCTGGTCCGTTAATTTCCTTGAGGGACACCTAGCATTTACCACTGTTAGAAGACAGGAAACTAGGCTAGACGAACCTTTGGTATGACCCAATATGGCCATTCATACATTTTAACAACAGGGAATATTTACCACTTAGACATCTTTTGGAAAAGTAATACGGAAACTCTACCCTGCACCCCCACACATAAAATGACCAATAAGTTCTAGGGACAACTATTGGTTTTAGAAGGCAAAAGGGAACAGCAATGTTTTATTTTAATCTGACCAGAGAAGAATTGGTTGAGAATCTGATGGTGGAAGGTAATTTGGATGAAAGTGATAATGGAATCAGATTTCCTGATTTCAAGGAAAGGAAAAAGTGAAAGCAGCAGAATAAGGACTCGAATCAACTCTGAGAATTAGTAGGTAAGGTGCATGGGAAGAGCCAAGGAATAAGGATAGCTGACCGTTTCTCAAAGACAATATTAAATGCACAACTGTCAACTATTTCATTGCTAGGGGAAGAAGAGTAATAGGCAAACAATGCTCCACGAGGCACTCTAACTTGGTAAAAACAAAGAATCCTACTAAAAATGAAAAATAGGAACAAATCGCCAAGGAGGAGTGCAAAAGAATAGAACAAGATTATAGGCACAAAATCAGGAAGCCCATGGCACAGAAAAAAAAAGTTAAATTTAAATGCACATAAAAAGTAATAAAAGCTTCTTTTAATACATCAGGAACAAAAAAAGATGAAAGAGTTTAGGTCCTCCACTTAGTGAGGAAAGAAAGAGAGCTGATAGGATGCATTCCCCCCCCCTTCCCCTATTTAAGAATAAGGACCATTGGTTGCCAATATTTCTACTTGCTATCACTTGAGTGTCTGTATTTTGTTAAGTAAACTTTACTTGGTTTCACTACAAAATTATTCACATGCTATCTGTCTTAAAGAGAATGATCCAAGATGTAACTGGTAAGTTGGGTTGTATTGTTCCATAGAGAGCAGCAAAGCAGTAAGTATTATAAGTGTCCAGTGACTCAGGGGCTGGACACTCAAAGGACACCCTTTTTGAGGCTGCCTATCGCTAACCTGTAAAAGGGCAGCAGTACCTCTGTAGGTCAATATGGAAGTACCTGTATTGCATGTCAGTTGACCACCAGCAGGTAGACAAAGCGTCCTCATGCTAAGGTGCCTCATAGCTCAGAGTACCTCCCAGGAAGCATCACAAAGGAACACAGGCCAAAATAGGCAAAGAGCAAGTTAAAAACCAATATTTTGATAAATTATATGTATTCAAGTCAGCAGGACTAGATGAAATTCATCCTAGGGTACTTAAGTAACTCGCTGAAGCAATCTCAGAACCATTTGCAATTATCAAGAGCTCATGGAAGATGGGTATAATCCTAGAGAACTGGAGAAAGACAATCATCATACTTACATATATTTAAAACAAGACACATCTTTGAACAAAAGACCCTCAGAATTCAAATACACCATAATATAGGCCCAACTTAAATGTATACCCC